GCTGTGGTTGAGGGTATAATGGATCTCAGTTACATCTCACTGTGTTCAAAACTGCCCGCCTGTCCTTCACACGCGATTCTTCCCTTCCCAGAGGGCAGCAGTCCTGCTTCTTGTCAAGTCTCTGGCTGTTTGAAAAGGACTCTGCAGTTCAGAGAATATCAGATGGTAAATGCAGAGTTGTCTACTTTTCCACTCATTACTTCAGCTGCAGCATCAAATCTTATGGAAACCCATTCCCACCACCAAAACAAATACACTGATAAAGTTTGAAGAGCAAAGGTGAAAACTCCCATGAGTATGTCATAGTAAATCAGAATTAAGACTTAAATGAGTGCCTGGTGTATATAATAACTTATATAGACTTGAAAATGAAGGAGAATCTCAAATTATGAGACAAACTTTTAATTTTACACTTCATTCAGAATAGGTTTGCTGACCATGGATATTTAACAATGTCCTGCTCAACGCTCACACTTTCATGCAAATTGTGAAGAGTTTTAACTATAAGATCATATAATTAGTACGTCAAAACCAGGTTACCCCTTATTTATGACTATTTATGATTCTATGATGAATACCTCATAATTATGACATGTATTTGTTACACTCTCAACTATGAGATAAGAAGTCATACATTTGACTTAGTCAATGATAAGTTATCATTAAACTAAGACAACTTTTGATTTTGATACCTCATTTTGCCAAATGAGAATTTGTATTTTTATCATAAATCCTTTTTTAAAAATGTGTCTATTTACCTGGTTGGAATGAGCTTCTATACATCTTACTCAGAGCAAAAGAAAGAATTAATCACAGAGGATGTCTGACACATCCAAGTGTCTAAGCCTCATTGCATCAGCTTCAAGTACTTTGTCTCGGAGGGCAACAGACCCCAGGGCAAGACTGAACTGTTCAAAGGATGAAATCACGTCAAACAGTAAAAAGCAGTGTGGTAATAATTTTTAAGGAAGTTATGGAGTAGGTGGAGAACAATAAAAGGCACTCAGGTAGCTGGCTTTCCTAAATGAAAACCACTGCTGGGCTGGATAAAACACTGTTCTAAAGTTAGTGTGAACTGAAGACATTGCGCCTGGTGTTGATGGCCATGCACCAGTGGCTGTCACAGGAATGCAATGGGGCCAAATAAACAAGCACACAGAGTGGGTTAAACGCGTGGGAACAGTTGCACAGCACTCACCAGCAACCACATGCCAAATTCTGTGGTACGGCAGCTGCCATATTCACATTTCCCATTTTCCTCAGTACTTGGCTGCTACTATTATTCTCAGTGTGGTGGTCTCTGTCACTTCACACAGCCTGTGGACGGCTTGGTTAGCTTTAACTCGCCCTCAGGGGAGTGGCCGGATGGACCAATGTCAACATAAACTGAATGGAGGGTGCTGAAAAAAACTTCTTTAACTTTATTTATTGTTTTTCAGATGCAGAATTAGAAAAAAGAGATTCAGTAAATACAACAGCATTATTGATTACTTTTACGTGAAATATAATTGCATCTTTCCAACAGCTTACAGCGGTCTCTAAAAGGTCCTTCCCCTCCTAGTTCTCGCTCCACAACATTGTTAACAAACCACAAATTTTGAGCCATTTTTTGCTCATTTAGTGTCACTGATTGGCACTATGGAAACATAGCTCTTAGTTCTGAGTTAGCCTGCAGGTGGGGCGGTGAACTTTTTAGGCTTTAAAGAAGTCAGTCTTCATTTTTGTGAAACATTATTGCATGAGGCTAATCTGAGAGCAAAATGAAGACTGGCCAAACACTTCAGACCGGTCTAAAATGTCCTTGTTGAACAGGCCCCAGGAGCTATTCTTACCGTTATAGCAAGAAGTGGCTCTTTTTCCACCACCCTGCCACCAGTGTTGGGGATTATCTAGTTACATGTAATTTAGTTACATAATTGGCCTTAATAGTTTATTCTAAACTTAATGTAAATTCAAAATAATGATTGTGTTTTTTCCTGTGTGCATGAAGGACAAGCTATGACACTTCTGTTGTGAATGATCATCCCTGAATAGACACTTACTCACATATTTGTACATCATTGTGTTAAATTGTTTAATTTAGCATATTTGCCTATGGTCTACTTGCTTAACTGATTACTTTGTAGATGGAGCAACCTCATTATCAGTGTTGTTCATGCTAACATAGGTTATTAAGGATGATGTAGTTATGCGGTTAACTGTATAGTACTGCTCACAAGAGAAGTGTATGTATTATTGTGTGCTGATGAGAGTAATTCTGTACTGCTTTGTTAGTGCATAGTTGAAATGTTTATTACTCTCCTGTTAAAGGTCTATGTGCCACGTACCATTCCTTATTTAAACATATATTTATTTCAGACCAGACATATACCTGTATATTCAACTCAGGTTTTGGAAATAAACAATTGCTCCTACAACAAAGGATTCTCTGACTGGAATCATTTCTATAGTGTACCAACACATACCAGTTTACTGAGGCTACGCTTCTGCATACTGATGTTTTGTACAACATAAAACTACTTCCCTGTGGTGCAAAGGTTGTTGCACGATGTGGCTGACAGTGGAAGGTACAATGAGCAAGACCTATGTGTGATATTGATACAGACAGTGTAAGTGAGACTGATTAGTGGCATACAGAGTGTGATAACGTGTGAAGACACAGTATCAAATGATGATGTTAATGATAATAATGCTGTTCACAAGTTTCCTTGCAGAGATCACAAACAATAAAACTGTGTCTGTAAAAAAGCCAAAACATAATAATTCCCTCAAGCCAAGTTCTTTACACCCTTTTGGACGCAGTTAGTGCCAGACCTCAAAATCAGGAGAATGTAACCTTGATACCTATTGCCTGATCCTATCCTTCCTCAGAGACGAAGACATGGCAGAGCTTCCATGTCAAAGCCTCCACCTCGGGCGTCTCTCAGTCATCCAGCAGCCAAACTGCTGTCAAAGATGAGCAAGTAAATGTGCAATCAGGCGTTAAGGAGATTGTGCACTTTGCTACTTTTACTGGTACGGAAAGTGCAATTTGTAACTATTGGATCGTGCAATATACAGCAGTTGTGGGTGAATATGTAACTGTTTTTGTTATTCAACTGCAATTGTTATGATGGTTGTGCGCTGATGCTGTGGTCTCTTGAATGCCCAAGATAAATTTCTCCCAAGGGAGACAATAAAGGCTAATCCTATACTATCCTATGATCAAAAGTAAAACGGCATTCTTACTAGAACCAACGACAAACGTCGAGCAGGGAATGTGAACATGACAGACAGCTGTTGAGGAAGTAGAGTGTGCCCAAGATAAACACTGCTGTTTACAGAGGCAGGATGGGGAAAGCTTAGGGTGTGAATGGTCTCCATGGGAACATTCGGCAACATGTCTCTAGCTGTCACTGATGTGTGGTGAGGTGAAGTGAGGTGATAAAAATCTCTTTTGCAACAGCCTGTGTTAAATGCCAGAAAGCTGCTTTTCAAATAATAAGGAATAATAATCATTCCTTAATCAGGAATAAGGAAATAAGAACATCAAACAAGCATACAGAGAGGTGTTTCTGTGATTTAGCCTACTCTCATTTAAATACATGGGGTGAGCAAAATGATAAAAACAACAAGTTGATCATAAAGTTGAATCAACACCTCTCTAAAAAAATTTCAATAAGAAGTGAACAGCAGGATTGTTGTTTTAGACTGCATTTGTTTTACGCATACCTAATAAAGTGGCAACTGAGTGTAAGTTTGAATACACTCATAGGATGAGTTACAACTGTTGACAAAAAATTCTACATCAATAAACACTTTAAAAGGTCTTTATATCTGCTCACAACTACATTATAGTGTGGTACAGACCACTTATTAAACATTTAACTGCTGCTTTTAACTGCTAAATGTGGGGACTAGTGTATCACTAAAGTGTTACCAAATAGTGTCCTAAATATAAGGGGACACATCTGTCCACATACATTTGAGTAATTTTGGTTTTTCAGATAGTTTGGGGGAAGGCTCGAGTTCCAAGAAAAGGAAGTCTGAATGCTACAGCATACCATGATGAAGACAATAGTGTGCTTCCAATATTGTGGCGGCAGTTTGGGGAAGGCCTTCGCGTGTTTCAACACGACAATGCCCCTATGCACAAAGACGGGTCCATGAAGAAAAGGTTTTCCAGTTTGGTGTGGAAGAGATTCAAGCCAACCCAACATTAGAGGCCGATCTCACCACTGCTCTTTTAGCTGAATGGGAGCAAACTGCTGCAGCCGGGGTCCAGAATCTTGTTCAAAGCATTTACGGAAGAGTGGAGGTTGATATTAGCAGAGTAATGCCCATTGTTTTGGAACATGGGTGTAATGCCTGGGTGTCCACATAGTTTGTTTGCATGTTAACATAGTTTTGACCATGTAATAAAATATGTAGTATGAAATTGGTATATAGTTTACAAGTTAAAAGCCCTCCCTTTTTTAACCTCTACCAGGACAAATCTCTGTTTATCCTCACCCTTGCATAAAATCTGCAGTGCCCAGTGGCCATTCTGGACATTGTATTGCTTGAAGCTGTGTGTCAGCCATATTAATTCAATAATATGCTAATAAAGGTTTTTAGAATCTATCTCTAATAAGAGTCCCTTGGAGTTTGTTTGCTTGTGTTGTGTCTGTTATTAGTTGAAATAAATCATTGGTGTGCAAGTATTAGTTTATTCTCAAAGAGAAGGCACAGTATATGTTTGTATGTATACAGTAATGAAGTGGAGAAATGATACTAAAACCAGGATGTAGCGAGTTACAAAAACAAGATCATGTGTGCATCAGATATTATAGAAGTTATTGGGGTAATATTTCTATAATAGTCCTACTTCCTACTGTGGTGAGAATATTCAGCCAAAGAACATGTTTCCCTACTAAGTTAAAAAACAAACAAAAAAACAACACATTCTGGATATTACAAAAGCTTGACAGTCACAAAATGTCCAGTCCACCTTAAAACACAGCTCTGACAGAGATACACATTTCCTGAAAACGCCCCGTTCAAGAAAAAGAAGGAAAACTCGAGTGCTTCTGAATAATAATAATAATAAGCCTGGGTTGTTTATCCAAAGACTCGGGGGTTGGACATAGGCAGATTCTGCTCCAGAGTTGTTGTTTTTTTAACTTCTCTTACTTCCCACTCCGAGAATTTACTAGCAGCATGAACTTACTCTAGTGCGTCAACCTCACCCGCAACGCACCGCCAACCAAGGTCAGCGACAGCGACCGCCCACGGGATTTGTCAACGCGGCACCAAACCTGCGCGGGCCCCGGCAGCTTTTTAACTTTGCAGTTTGGACTCAAAACCGACTGTCGCCGGATGGATAGAGCGAGCCTCGGAACCGAAGGATTGAAAGAGCCAAACAAACGTTAGCCCAACCTCAAGTTTGTGAGCATTAAACGAAGCACCATGTTGGGAAACCCAGGGTCTTACGCCAACAAGAAGAGGAAGAAGCCTGTTCTCAAACAGTAAGAATTGTCAGAAACTGTATTACTGAAAAGATTTGGGTGATTTAAGAGCCATTGTACTTCATGCATTCAGATTGTCGTTTTTGTCGTTAATCCTATTATAACCATGTGAAACTGTACGCGATTCGAAGTCCAGCATAAAGTTATACGTTTCTCTCTGGCCAGTGCAGTAAATGCACCATAGAGCCAAAGCCCCCTGAACTTTCAGTTTACCTAACGCACTGCCAGTTATAAAGAGGTGGGTAGTGCATTTAAGGAGTGTTTTCTTTTCAAAACTTGTAATAAATTAGACTTGCTCATATTCGGCAAGCTATAAAATCTAAATTTGAGATTAAGCAATTAACCTCATCCTCAGTGTATCAATTTAACACGTAACTCGAACGCAAAAGCTGCCAGAGGAACGATCAGCCTACTACTCGGTAATGAGGCCGTGTGTTTTGTGTTGACGGCTGTGGTCTCCTCTGGTTTTGTTTTCCACTTGTTGTGGACTACCTTAACTGTCTAGCTCGAAACTGGCATGGATATCTAGCCCTCGCGCATTAATCACAATCAAGTTGGAGAGTCGGCTGCTGCTCTCACGCGATGCTCCGAGGAGGGGAGATGGGAGGGAGAGGGGCTCGCAGGCTCCGAGTATGTTATTGTAATCTGATATGGCCTTGCGCTTCATGGTTTTGGGATCACTGCAGGTTGTGTGTGTGTGTGTGTGTGTGTGTGTGTGTGCGCGCGCGCGCACTGTAGTGCCTGTGCCCCTTTCTGTTCCTCCCGTCTTGTTTTGTCTTCTTACCTTTTTAAAGTTTATCTCACAGCAAATTACAGCTAGGTAGGAGTACTACATAATACAACATCAAAGAAATAGGTGCATTACAAATTAAAGTCCAGGTTTTTGTTTCTTGCCACCATCAAAGTGTACTTAAATAACAACAGAAGAAGGGCTCTTGTCAGGGTTAAATTATCAATGTATTAACATACAAGCAGTATTTTAATGTTGGTGCTTGTCCAAGTGTAGTCTGAGAGAGTTTAAAATGCATTAGACTATGTGTAGGATGCAACAAACGTTTATTTTTAATATCGATTAATCTGCAGATTATTTACTTGATTAATGGTTCATGTAATCTCCATCACATTCTCATAGGACAAGTGGACATCTTCAAATACCCTCTGATTTGTAGTGTACACTACCTTCCCAGCACCAAAGGACAGACAGACAAAGTAAGCGACTAGCTGGTGAACAGAAAGGAGCATCCATGCTGAGTTTCAACCAAAGGAACTATACGCAGGAACTAGGAACCTTTGGAGGAACTCACTGCGTTTCCACCGAAGGGACCAGGGTCTAAATTTAATTCTAGGGTCTTTATTTTACCAGGGGGGTAGCACTTTCTGAAAGTACTGGTACTTGCCTTGCAGTGAATTTCTGAATGGGCAAGTAGAGGCTACCGATTTTAAATCAAGCGTGTCGGCTGTTTTTCTACAACTGCTCCTCTATTTTCCACCTTGTTTGCAAACCAATAAATCACAATCAACAGTCAGATAGCACACAAGTCTCGCCAATGTCCGCCTGAGATCATACATCGGCATTAAATGTATCGCTCAGAAACAGCAGCCAGTGTGCAGCGGTGTGTTACAGCAAACAGCTGATGGAGTTACGCTAAATACTGGGTCCAGAGTTCTTTTAAGTTTTCATCAGTCAGGAGAGCCAAAGTCGGTCCCCTCCTCTCCAAAATAAGTGGAACAGCTGATTACAGCAGGTAATAAAGCTCGTTAAAATCACGTACCTCCGAAGATCAGGCCGACACAGACGTGAGTCTGGCCAGCTGATCTGCAGCTCTTGTCGGCTGTTGTGTTGATTTCTCTGTGCTGGAGTTATTTTAAGAACTTGTAACTTTATCCAGTTTGTTGTTAAATTTGTAACATACTTTATCGCGTGTCTCTTCATTATACTCCCACACAAAAAAAGCTGTTTTTAACGGTCAAGAATAGCCTTTAGCTTTTCATTATATTCCAATCAAATCTGATGTTCATTTATAAATTTTGTGGTTACTAAATAATGATGCCTGTGCATCGCTTTGTACGGCGTACAGGTCTTTAGATCACGGTGGAAATGCACACAACAATGGGCTGAAGGAACCTTTTAGTGAAAAGAGATCCGGGGTCGAAACACGGCTTTAGTTGCTCCAAAAAGCAAGATATTTTTCTCAGAAGTTGGTGGAGACCAAAATCAAGCAAAAAGGAGAGTGAATATTGGACCGACCCCAAATGTGATACTTTAGTATGAAACTTGAGCAATATTATATAATTCTACCAGACTTCTGTTAATTAGAGACACATTTTCTGGTCCAGTTATATATCTTTTGTTACAAATCAAAACAGGACTATTTCATACTTTTGCTTTTGAATTTAGTGACATCTCTTATAATACAGGGATTAACAACAGATAACAAATAAAATCCAAGTTGAGGTTTTTTTCACAAGTAGTATTTGTGTATCATGTTAGTAGTTGTAACAGTACCATTTTACAATGATTTTAAATCATATTTATAAACAGATGCAATATGAGTCCGCACAGTGTACTATAGATATGTCTTAGAGCGATCTGGCAAATTGTGTATTGGCTGTTCCCAGTGAAAAACCCAAAATAAAAAGGTGGCCTGTGTGCAAGACGTCTGTGTTTCTGAAGATGTGGGACTGTGTGCAACAAGGACTGAGGTTTCCTGGAAGGCCAGCTGGGCTCAGCTGCACAAAGGCACCATTGAGCCTGACTGTAAAAGGCTGTGGTCACTACACAGGGGCATTCCATGGCAGATCTGGCCATCCAACTTCTCTGTTTTATTACCCAGATGCCTTCTGTGTATGTTGCCAGTCTTCTTTGCCATCCATCCTACATACTATATTACTAAAAAATGCCTATCTAATTTATTAAATATACATGCACCTTTCAAAAGAGAACAAGCGCTACACTCTTACAGCAGTCATTTTTAATTCATTTGCAAGCAATGTTGTTCTCATGCATTTAACTACTTAAAGTCTGGGTCATGTACTTTACTTCCAGTGTCAAAAATGCAAACCATGTGCCAAACTGGCAACCATCATCTCATCACAAACCCTCTTGTAGTCCATCAAATTGACAACTAAATGACATCAAATGGCAATGGTATTGCAAAACACAGAGAATCATTCCTGCTTTTTTATACTTTCTTACCACATGCGCAGGATTGGTTTTAAACAGTAGCACCATTCCTACAGGTTGCTGTGAAAAATGAATTATCACATACCACATTTAAATCCCTTCCCCCAGAGTACAGCTGTAATGTGTGTTTGAGTGCGTACTTTAAACTGAGTGGATTATAAATTAAACACTTTATAATATGACTATGCATTTATTTAACAAGTAAGGGTGTCCTTAATAAGAGGGGATAATATGCCTCACCAATGGAAATATTTTTTGCACAGTAATCTAAAGGGATTGTGAGAAACACAGACATGCTGATAAGAGATTTGGCAGGACACCAAAGCACGCCTGGTGAACAGCAACAAGTTGCTCTTTGTTCTTTGCCCTTTGTTTCATTTTTCAAGAGGAGTCCACACAAATACCATTTTAACAGTTTTTATCATTGTCTAACAGTCTTACAGGAAAAATATCTCCATTTATGAAAGACCTTGATTTAAAACCTAAATGGTGAGTGTACATAGCTAACAGCTAACAACAGATTAACTAAAACTATAGGTTGTTGTTTATGCTAAAGTTGTGACAGGGTATAAATTCATGTAGCTTACATTTTTTACTGTATTCAATATCATTAATATTTGAAAGATGTGATGTTTTTCAATCAGTCTAATATATCATTAAATAAATCTGCATAGTGGAGTATAGGGTAACAAATGAGGCGACTTTTGCTCAGAGGAATGAGCTGGTAAGCCATTAAAAGTAGGGCTGGACGTTTGACCTCTGGCTATACCTGTCCACATGTTCAAGTGCCCTACAGGAAGACACTGAACCCCAAATTACTTCAGATGTGTTCAGGTGAAGGACAAAAGTGTTGTTTTGTATAGATGTGTCTGCTAAATGAATGTAATGTATGTAATGTGGCTCGGGCTGGGAACTCATGTTTTGGACTTGATTTTTTTCCAGATGTGGATACTGTACAAGTACTTTGGAGCAGTATCTCTAAAAGTTAAATAAAACAAAATACTAGCAACCAGCCCACCCCAGTAGGTTTCTACTCAGGCCATAGGTTTTTGCCCAAACCAGTCACAGTCCAAGATCTACCAAAAAACGTTTGGTAATAACCTGAACTGAAGCTACTGTTTGAAAGAGTTTGTGGCTTGCTCCTTCACAGAGGATAGTAATTTCTCTCTTCTCATAAAAACTTATGCATCCAGTTCTTCACTGCATATCCACATGTTTCAGACAGTTTCTCTAGAACGCTGTTGCCTTTGCTTAACTTGGAAATTTAGCAATTTATTGGCAAAGTGATGCCTCAGATTCTGTCTGTCTGTGGTTTCTGTGTGCAGTCAAATGATCAATTCAGCACATTAAACTTTTGCATGAGCATAAAGTAACAGAGAAGTTTGGATTAACTGCAGAGCTCTGTAGGATATGGTTAAAAAGAATTGCTTTTGTTGTAACCCATTCATCATCTTTGTTCTTGTACATTTATGTACAACATATGTTATTTTGTGGGAGTTCTCTATTATGTTTTTTTACCTCCCTGTCTGGAAAGCTCTTTGTAGGCTAGAGCCTCCTTTTGTAAACTATCCTACTTGCAGTCTGTGTTTGTCAGCCGCCAAACATGTGTATAGAAAGCACACTCTCCATACTTGTGAGCCACTGAGTCATCCCTCTGGATCTGGCAGTGTTACATACTTTGAGCAAATGTGTTTCATTTTCATTACAGCTGACTAAGTGCAACATGGGCTGCCTAGACTGTGAGAAAGAGGTGCTTGGGTTCAGACTCTCTTTTGTTCTTGAGATAAGGAATCCTAATAGAAATCGAGGGATGAGGTAAAACATCCCCCTTCACGTCCTGATGTCTGCTGCTCAACCCCGTGATCCATAGCAAATCAAGGTGGAAAAATGGTTCTGAATGCTGGCTTTTGTCTCCACTAGGCATTTCTTGAGAATGAGATCAGTCCTGCTCCATTTCTGAAAAGGTACAACTCGGGTCTGAAGCCAGCAATGAAGTTCAGGCTGTATTCCCAGCAGACTATTCAGTGGCAGTGGGGGAAATTTTATTGCGTGTCATTAACCAAAGTTTCAGTAAAAAGAGAAATTTAAGCAAAGAAAGAGCATAAGAAACCTGAAGCTGCAGACATTCTTAGGTAGTAACTGACCTGGAAAAGTCTTTGACACTAAGTACTCTGATGTGTTTTAGGGCTGAAACCAACTGATAATGTAATTAGAATTTACCGGTCTGATACAGATTATTGATTGGTTCCACTTCCTAAATGACTACAGATATAAAATACTGATGCTTCTCTGAATGAGCCACTGCTTTTAACTAATGTCTAAGAGTTACCCATAAGGCTTTGTGATACCTTCATAGCAATTGTATCAGTTTTGAGTGTAGCGAATTGCCTGAGTGACAGCATCTGAGGGCCGACCATGATCAACAGCTAGAGAACCACAACCATAACCATGACAAAGCAGGCAATGAAAACACAACAACACTTGAGGGATGTTCATTTCCATGCCTTACCAGATTTCTTCCAAACAATGGGCCATTTGTCATGAAAGCTTATTTTCATTATTTGTCATCAGCTTATTTTCAGAGCATACTTAGTTGACACCAATCTGTTCACAATAAATAAATCCATATACCATCAATAATAATTTTACATCGCAAATGTCTTTAATGGAACAGATTGGCATTGCTTGCTACAATCTCAACCACACAGATCCGTCAGAGCTCAGCTGTCCCTCAGAGGCATGCAATAATAGGTGTCTCCTGCTTCAGCTGACCCGAAGCCTCGTTTACCGGCTTCTCAAGGCCCGCCTTACTCTGCTTCTGATTGGCTAGTAGTCCTTAACTAGGAACTGCGCATGTACAACTCCCAACAAAGATCATGTAGAGGTAAGATGAATCACTCCATAGCTATAATGAAGCCTTCAACACACAGGGTGAAAAGAGGAGCTGCAACAATGTGCAGTATGACAAAAGATATGCTGTTTTTGAAAATAAAACCATTTAAACCTGTTCTGGTACAACCCCTAAATAGGATTTTGAACCAGAAAATTTGCATAATACCACCTCTTTAACCTTTATAATTCATATTTCATAAGCAGATCATTGCCATTAATTTAATTGATTTAACAGTGCGCACAGCAAGACGTGTTTTTAGAAGAAGGCTTGGCACTTGTGAGGATTTGTTCATCATTCAAGGGGGATTTTAATGCCTCCAAGAATTGATTATTTTCACACTAAACCTTTAACTCCTAATCCTGCATTTGAAATTTACTAGACTGAACTTGCACAAGAAGATTATTCCTACTAAGTAAATTGTATCTATATCTATTCTATCATAATTTTATTTGACAATGTCATAATTGTAAGATACCTATCTCTTGAGACTAGGGCTGCAGCTAATGATGATTTTAGTAATCGAGTATTCTACAGATTAATTCATTGATTCATCGAGTACTGTTGCTTGGCGCCTCCCCCCTCAACGGGATCAGCTGTGAAACTCATGACTCTGACATTACAACACAAACTCACAGCCCAAATTACAGAGTTGTTGTTTTCTTTTAGCTTTAAACAATCTCATACTTTGGACACTTTCTGTGTTTTTTTTTCTGACCAGTCTCTTCTTCGTCCCTCGCTATTTTCTCTCTCCTTCTCCAGTTTGCAAACAGTGTCATCAAATCACCTCATCTTAGCTTGATCACAGCGTAAGCGCGATGAAAGACAGGAATAAATGTCTGTGAAACAGTTAACATACAGTTAAATGGATTAAATGAAGCATCGGTGCAAAGAAATTGTGTCGATGCTTTTTAGTAATCAAATTATTTGAAAAACTCGATAAATCGTTTCAGCCCTACTTGAGACATATCCCTTTTTCTCTACCTATTTAATTCTTGACAGATATGAGTTTCCATATATTGAGAATGAATTTCTGAAAACTCTAAGACAGTTCTCTAATATTAAAAGTTGTAAAATATGAATAGGCTTTTTAGGACCTGAAAGCTGTAAGCCGGTGTGTAGTGGAGGAATGTCAACAGTGGTGTTGTATGCCGTCCCCATTGCTTCCTTTCACTGATACTTGGTTTCACTCCTGGTGGAGCATGTGTGTCTGATTTGTGAGTAATGACATGTATCTCCAGCGAGCCTTGTGAGTTTGCATTCTTGCACTTGAGCATGGGTGGTCTCAAACCCTGTTTGTAACCCTGTATCCCTAAAGTGAAAGTCATGCAGAGCAACTAAAGCAGCTGTCATGATAAAAACTGGTTTCCATTTTGACAAACTACATAAGTAGCAAATGGAATGACTTGTGGTCACGTTGTATATTTTGCATTCTGGTGTCTGGGAGGAAAGATTCAAGTTTCCTTGAGAGAAAAAACCCCCCACTGTTGTTTTCATGTCTGAAAAGAAAGAGAGTGGGCTGTCTTGCTGTTCAAAAAGATGCAACAGAATGGTCCAACTTTCTCTTAATAAACAATCTTGCTTATGTCAGTACTTTATTTTCAGGTACAGAACAGGTAGGCAGTTGTCAAGTGCCAGCAGTGGACAATCCACCAGTTGAAAATTTAAGCAGCAAATGTCACTGTTTAATGTTTATCACCTTAAAGTGAAACTTTGGTATTTTTCAACCTGGACCTTATCTTCCCATGTTTTTGTGTCTATGTGACCAATTGGGACAATTTAAATAAAGTCCTTTTTGTTTAACCAGAAATAATCAGTATATCACTATTGTCAAAGCCACCAGGCTTCATTGTTAAAAGCGGTAATTTTACCTCACAGAGCTAAGGAGTTGCTGGTCTAACACTGCCTCGATCTGGTGGTGTGTTTGTGTGTTGTTCTTGTTTGTTTCTGTTATTGTGTGACTATGGTGTTTGTAAAGGTTTAAAATGACAGAAGTCGCACAATAAGACAAACCAACTAATATAGGCAGAGGTAGACCACAGAGGTAAAATTGCAAGTTTTGTCAAGGGAGTCTGGTGACTTTGACAATAGCGATAAAGTGACTACAGTGTTTCCCACAGGATTTTAAGAGACTAGCATTAATTTGGTGCAAATTAAGAGGCTGTCTATGAAGAACTTGGTATGCTTGTAAACAATGTTGTGCTCTAATAAACTATTTGATCATAAACCCGTTGTAAATGGTGATGAAACAGCAACAAAAGTCCACAAATTTATTTAATGTTTTCCCAAAAACCCTGAATCAAAGAATAGAAGACAGAATAAGTAATTCCCTAACATTTTATTGTTTTATTTTTTTTACTTTTATTGGACATGTTATATGTTTTAAACTTTCTGTGAATATATTCCAATTAATTGTATTTCCATGCTGTATAGACACCTTATTCTGAAAACCGGGCGTTGTGTGTATCCTCGCGCTAAAGTCCAACCCGAGTACGAACCGGCACGAACTTGATAAATAATGTTGTATGTGGTTCTCGTATCGCGTAAAATGAAGACTTCACAGCCTCTCTTCAGGTAGGACTCTCATACTGCAACACATGTCTTTGTAAAGAGAGAAACAGGGGCAGGATAAAGTTGCTAACCTTCCTTTCGGCTCGCTCTGGGCCGTTACAGTGGATTTACCATAAAGGCTTGAATATGTGTGCACTCCAAATGGCTTGCTAAATCGCCTTCTCACCTTTTTATATACAGTCTATGCTTCTCACAAACGAGTGAAAGAAACAGGTCATTAACGTTACCGTAGTTACCTCAAAAGAAAAGTGGATCTCTGCAGGGATAATTAACTTACCATAATGCTGGACACTTAAAATAACAATCTGACCCTTTCAGTGGCAAAAACAAGCACTTTAGCAGAAGTACTGATGGGGCGCAATTTCCCATAAGGATTACTTTGCAGCCCGGATTTGCTGCCGCAGACTCCAGCACACTTATTTAATACTGGAACGGTTTCAAAAGATGTTGTCCCAATTAGTCACAGAAACAACAACATGGGATGAAAGGGTCCAAAAATTTCAAAAGTCACCCTTAAATTGCGCATAATTTTGACTTAAAGGATCCTCTGAGTCTGTGAAGGTATAAGCACAAGCAGCTGAAGTGAGGAGGTCAAAACCTTTTACAGTATTTGAATGACGATAGGAAATAAGGTAAGAAGGAGACTTTTCTCTCAATGGTGGAAAAAAAGAAACCCTGTGAAGATGGTGACATCCTCAAGTTTTGTGATTCTTTTTATGAAGAACCAAGATGTTTGTGATGCGTGGTACAGTTTTATGTTGTCCCTCTATAAACAGATAAGCTAGCTTCTGTTCCACTATCTTTGTCTCTAGGTGTAGTTCCTCATAAAAGATTTCTTTGATCTGTTCTGAAAAGCTGTTACTGCATTCAGCAACTCCAGCTCTGATAAGGTTTTTTGTATAACACTCTTAAAGGGAGCTGATTTACTATTGACTCACCTTAACTGCAGTGTTTGTTGGTCACATCAATGGCTGACGCTCTTCTCCCTGACTAAGTTTGAAGCTATTTGGTGCGTTGCTAAAAGTTAATATGGCTGGTGTTTAATTGGCCTGTGTCATACTGCACCTCATAACAGATGGCATGCTGTGCAGGGCTGGTTAGCAAGGCCTAAACTGAATCAGTCTTGGTCCACAATCACAGGCTTGCTCAAACAGCTATATATTTTTATACTCCACAGAAAGAAGATCTCTGAAGGTAATGGAGTTGTTAAATCAAACCCTTCGAAGCGCCACCGGGATCGGCTAAATGGGGAGCTGGAACGCCTGACGGACCTCCTGCCCTTTCATGATGAGGTTCGCTCTCGTCTGGACAAACTGTCGGTCCTTCGCCTCAGCGTTGGATACCTGAGGGTCAAGAGCTACTTTAAAGGTGAGGAACAGCCTGGTAAAGTTTCAGCCAAGTCTGTAATTGCATCTCCTAAAATTTACTTCAAGTAACTATGTCAAAATAAATGCCAACATTGACTGTTTGTACAAGTCAGGATGTGATCCCGGGACACCAGTTTTTAAGACACATGCTGATAAGCCCATCCATCACTTTGACCTCCACACCTGTACTTTACACTGCACTGTATGAATTTCACACTGTTTAGATTGACACAAGCTGCATTGTTTATTTAGCTTTAAAGCTTGAGCATTTTTTCATAGTGTTTTTTTATTTTATCTTAAACACAGGAGTATATGTATGAAGACATACACGGAGTCAAGCTTGGGTAGAGTGGCTTACATAGAATTAAAGCTTGAATAAATGGGCAAGACAGAATTGAGGAAACTAAGCCAGCACTTACAATCGTTGGAATTGGAACTGATTCGAGAGTAACATATGCAATTGCCCCAGCAGTGCAGCTGACAGCCAAGGCAGGAATGAGAAGCATGCAGGAATCTAGTTTTAGGAAACAACACATCCTCAATACTTGTAACCTTACTCCACCCTCTTTGTTAGCAACACAATAATCACTTTAGATAATCACAAAAAAAAAAAGTTTTGTGTCTCCACTGTAAGTTGATTAAACTTGCAGGCACCCTGGCTTTGAAAACCAGATGAGTCATGTGTGAGTCAATTATATGTGAGTCACGCATATACCATCTCCACCACCCCCAGATGATAGCTTTCTTTGAATTAAACAAACGTTTTAGCTGAGGTGTTGGCAGACAGGCTGCTGAGTAAGTTGCTTGTTTGCCTCTGGATTCACTCATGTTAGAATTGATGTGTCTTGTCTCTGTTGCTTTTTACATTTTCTGTGCACTGTTTTGCCCATGTGGCCTTATAGTTATACTGGACATGTGCCATTAAATCTCTCCATCAACAAAAACCCTACTGAATTTCATTAGTGACCAGCAAAATACAAATAAAATTGCTTTAACCAGTGTAATCTTTATAGGCATTGGTTAACCATTGGTTAATGATAGAAAAGATGTTTTAATCAAAGAATAAAAACATCCAAAAAGAGTTGTACTGAGGAAGTGACCTAAATGTGCACAAAATGTATTCTAACACCATGATAATATCAGGATAAGACATCTTTATGGTCTTGCTAATTTTCACTTTTCATTAACGTACTTGTTTGTGTGAAAGGGTGGCAGTACATTATACCCTCATCCTTCTATAATGTATTTAAAGCAACCTTAATAAGCACCTGTTATTACCTAGCTAGTTCTTAAATATCTAGCAGTGTTAACCCAGTGAAATGATGAATCTAATGAAAACCTAGCAGCCAAAAAATAATCAACAGGTTTGTAGCTGCAGACTGTAATTCCCTTACTTGCTAAGTTGTTGCAGTGTAAACAGCCAGTATGAATGGACATGTTACGTGCAGTTAGAGGAGTTGTGACATTCCAGTGCTGCTTGTTCTCACACCCTTTAGCATACTTTTTTGTTATGCAAGCAAGATCTGATGGAGTACTGTAGTTGCGCCATCATTTCAGATAGTCTCCATAAACTTTAACCTGCATTTACAACATGACATTTCTAATCTATGATAAACCTTTCAGTTGCTTTTATTATCTGCTTTGCTTCATTCTGCAATAGTTCCATTGATAGATGTCTCGGAGATTCCTTTTAACTAATATGCAGCGGGTGGATACCAGGGAACATAACTTATATGTAGTTTGGATTTGTTCAATTATATTATTAAGAGGAGTTTGTCAGTTAGCTTGTGATTCTCTATTTTTAAAATAGGTAAAGAATGGAATGTGTCTCTCATTCAAATGAATGGTTTTGAATTATAAAATTAATTGTTTTCCATTTTAATATATATGGATATCTGTCACAGCCAGCCAGCACAAGTGGAATATCAGTGGAGCCATGTGAAACTCCTATCCATAGCCTGGGGCCAGATAGTATAAATTATGCTTAAACACTAAAACTATGCACATGCCATTTCTCACACATGAAGTGGTATTGATAAATGAGGAACATGCAGTGAGAATAGGTGCACATCATGCATACCTCAGACCAAATACATGGTTTTACAGTGCCAGACATGTACTATAATGATAAAAATAAATGAGACACTGAATCAATGACAGCATTTAACTGCTATTCTGCTCCTACTGTCCTAATTTTCACCCACAACACTCTAGTCAAAGGTTAACCCAAAACATCCCTGCACCAAAGTGACATATGCCAATATCCACACAAAACAGAAATGTAACTATTTTTCTCTGCAGCCCTGAGTCGGCTACCTGTGTTTGTGTGTTTGGTGCATTCATTTGCAGTCCTTTTGGAAAAAATGACATCCTCAATCAATTGTGGTTCTGAATGCAGTGCTGTTTTCTGCAGTCTGGTGTTGGATTTTAGAGGTTTGACCACAAATAAACTTTAAAACGGTGGGAAACAATAACAACTGCACATTTAAAATATCCAGTGGTGTTTGGTCTTTTGTTGAACATCTCATTTTTAGTTTTCAATTGAAATAGCAATATGAATTTTTAGCTCAACTTTAGTCATTCTCTTCAGACAGTTGTGGAGAATTTGATGGGCTGTCATTTTTATTTTTCTTCCTGAAGTTTCTCCAGTATTTATGCCAGTGCTCGTCTCCCTGACACTGCCGTACTCTTTATGCCTCTCCTTCAGTTCCTTTCACATCAGCAGTAATCAGGCACACTGAAAAGATGGTCTGTACCCTGTAGCTGTGAAGGGCAGGATCAAAATCACATGTCACATCACACTGCCCATGTGCAACCCATCAGCCCATAAATGCTGCTGCTTTGTTACAGCAGATCTGCACTCACAAGTCTTATTTTTTTTTTTTTTGTGCTGTGTCAGCAGGTAATAAGAAGCTATCTTTGAGCTGTTACAGAAACACTGTCTTGATTATATGGTCTGTTACTCATTAATTTGGGTAGAAACACAAAATTAGCCAGCTATAGCTGAGAATCACAACATTTCACAGGGGGAAATAAGGATCGTTCTGTTGATATTTATGTTTCAGTGCTTGGGAGCAGAATCTGTGAGTTACTGGCTGAAGACACCCCCTCCACTTGAAGATATTTATTGCTTTCTGAAAGATGCACCACTCAGTAAATTGCTGTTAGCAGGCTGTTTAGCTAGAAGCTTGTTGGAGCTTTGAGAGCATAAAAAATGAGACAACAATGGAAAAGACAAGTAGGGATACACTGATCTGACTTTTTCAGTCCCGATATAAATACCTGGGCTTTGGGTATTGGCTGATGCTGTATACCAATCTGTGTGTGAAATGAATAAGCTCTATTCCTCACTATGAGGAAGAGACTAAGAATCTTGTTCTTTTGCACAATGCTGAGCCCTTGTTTTTAGCTCCCTCCATGCTATGTTTCCTCTCCTAGTGAAATGTTGGGGTCTGCTGGCGAACTGCTGATGCATTGTGTAGTAAGCGTGTAATTGAATTGAATAGATCTGCCCCTTTATCACCGATACAGATCTAGCTGTTTGAATCAGCATTGGGCCAATATCTGACATCAGTGTTGGATCGGTGCATCTCTAGAGACAAGTTTGAAGCATGACATTAAAAGAACATCTTTGGTGTGTTTCATACAGCAGTTTACTGACAGCTGATGGAGAGCCATTGATGGTTTCCATATCAACATTTGAATGCTGCACAGATTTTTTTTACCCCATGCCTATCCATTCTGCAGCACGCAGGATGTGAGGGCGGGACTCTATAAATCGCAGCGACCAGGTTGCATCGCTGTCTTCGTCTCTCTCTTCTGCTCTCTGTCAGGTCTGTGTGTATGTTCGTCCAAGGGCGGGGCTGAGCTACACAACATACGCAAGCACAGCGGACATGAGGAAGCGTGACTTTGGCTGCATTCACACAAAATCCAGCAATGTGTCCTTCCTGCAGGGCTGTTTGGAGGTGTGGCCATGTTTATTTGTGCTTTAGAACATAACCGCCATGAAACAATCAGAAATAAAATCTTTTTATTTCTCCAATTCACTGCTTTGTTCTTGCTAACGACGCTCCCTCTCCTCATTTGTTAAAGTCAGGATGCCGCATCTTCTGCTGCTTTCATATTTTCGATTTTTTTGTAATCTGTCTTTTAGGAGCCCACTAACTTTGTGGAAATGTAATACTAAATCAATGGACTACACTGTGATGGATGTGAAGGTAGCTTTTATTTCTGATGCCCTTTTCACACTGACACAGTGTTGTAGATCAAATCTGGTTTAACACACCGGACATGAAACTCCTCCTGAACTGGTTGAAAGTTAGTGGGATGCTACCTGCCCGTGTTGACCGGCGTTCTTTATTAGGGATGTAAACTTAATATTGTTGATGTTTAAACGTTGACTCTTTGAAGGGAAAGTGCATGTTTTGGTGAGTGAAAAGGAAGCTTGACTGGTAATTATGTACAGCAGACACTGTGCTAACAGTAACAACCAGAGATTAACCCGCGATAATCATCCCATATGAATAGGTCCAACACTGGTTAAATGCCTGTCTCCTGCATGAAAGTGGTATTATGGTGTGGATTAAAACGGAACGCCCCTGAATGCTTTTACAGGCATCAAACACGTTCTTATAGACACAGCCTGTCACTCTTTACCTGTTGGCATTGGCATGAATGTGACACGTGATACACTTATAACAATATGCAGTGTCGGCTATGCCAACGTTCTTTTTGTGTACCAGCTAAGCTCACCTGAAAGGGATCTGTGAAAGCCAAAAATAAGTGAGTTGTTCATTATAAGGTGGAATATTAGAATGCAGCATTTTGTATCTCAGCATTTTGTTTGTCTACTTTCAATAAAGTAATCAAACAGCTTTCATATCACTTTTGGGAGGACAAGTTACTGTTTATTCCATCTAAAGTTATTATGATTTTGTTGCTGTTACTCATGACAGACAGAATATTAATTCATAAAATCTTAACAAACTAGTAAAATGG